AAAAAAAAAATTGATTTCAGATCTTTCTTCTCCTAGGTCAAACTAAGTTGCTTGAGGGATTGCCAAAAATACCAATTGCTAAATCTCGGAACCGGGGATCTATTCTTGATATATCTCATCGTTTGGGGGCTCCCAATATACCAATACCCGAGTGGCTGATAGCCATGCCTAAAAATAAACTTCCTCAACCTGAACGTTTAGCATTCCCTCCACCTCCCCGTGGAAAAGGTACAGTTTGTTTGTTATTTAGATTAGGCAGTTTTTTTAATTTTATGTTCTTTGATTAACTGATGTGCATTTGTAAATTTTATTCTCATCAGTAATTACGGATTTTAAAAAATTGGTACTGGGCTTTCATTATTAGCCGTGACATAGCGGCTCATAGAATGGCCCTGAGTTTTTCATGTACAAACTTTAAGCTCTTAGCACTGTCATCTGTTGACCGATTTGAGATCTAATTACAGTTTTGGACTCAAGGTCTCTTAGATTAATTTACTCTAATCCTGCCTAAAAGAATTTCAAGTGCTGGAGCTATTGAGGATTCCCTCTTGTTTCAAGGAAACATATAACTTTTTTCATTTATAGTTTAAATCAGAATGTTTATAATAGTTATAAATATTCTGTGTTTGTTATACAAGTTTAGAAGTAAGCTGTTAAATGTTACTGTATTTATGCTTTTCAGATGGTCAACTCTTAATACCTTGGCCTCATAAGGAAGAAAGCCGATCAGTGGGTATCAACAGTGTGTTACCTACAATTCTAAGGAAACGTGGATATGAACAACAAAATGGAGTAGATGGTAAAGCAGAGTGCCATATTTTTTGGACGATTTTTTTATTTACTTTTTCTGTACTTGTTAGTATTCATAAGTAATTAATCCTCAAACTTTTTTTTCTCTCTCTCTCTCTCTCAGTATTGAAATTAGCTGCCATTAAAACTTAGATTAATTTATTTTCATCCAGAAACCAAAAACCATAGCATTATTATGTGGCAAACTTGGGTTTACTCTAAGCTGTCCCCTGGTGGGACGGTGGTAAGTCTTCGGATTTACAATGCTCACATCAGGGGTTCTGCTCCCTTCAGTGGACAATGAGCTTTTCCTATAAGAAAACACAAATACTCTGAGCTTTATTTTCACAACCCTTGTCATCATAACCTATAGAGAATCCTACTCTATGTGACTTCACCAACAAGGTTTGCACAGAGCTTGAAACCTCCTTAAATTTTGTGATTTTCTTTAAAAAAATCATTAAATGCAAGGATTCCATAAAATGTCTATCATAACTTATCCTTTGGTTTTATATAATGAGCCATTCAGAAGTTTCATGATGTCTATCATATGCCAAGTTTTTTATACTTTAGTTGTTGTCTTAGCCATAGCAGCACTTTTGCTTGGTTTTCGAGAAGCATGATTTTTTTTTTAAATCTTTTCTCTGCTAGAAAACCATTTTCCTATCATGATTTTACGGCATCAGTGTGATAGAGCAAGTTTTGAGTGTAAAGCCAAACACTGTGAGAACGGAAAATGGCAATAAATATTGTATGTGTGTGTATATTCTTTGCTGAAAATATGTGATGTTTGGTCTATTATTTTCATGAACTGAATACTATGTTATCTTTCGTCATGGGGAAGTACATAGTCAATTGAAAGTGGTTAGATCAATGTGAATTCAAAAATTGGGCCAGAGAACAGAAAGGATATTGCTCTATGGTATATTGTGCCATTTTTAGAAAAGTAACAGATCTGTGCAAGATGGATGAAAGTGTGATAAAATCACATATGCAAAGTGAAAGGCATTGTATAAATGTGAAGGCTGTACATTTAGTTTCTTTAGAAAAACCAGCTCAATTGTTTCTTTGGACAGTAGGACAAAATCAGGAAGTTGTCGAAATTATCATGAATTTTTGTTGTTAGGAGTCCTTAAAAAAACAGAAATAGAAGCCTTGAAAAGTCATTAAGAAGTCTTTGAATTTTATCATCATGACTGTGTGCAAACCCTGGCCAAAAAAATATTTAATAAGACTAATGTATAATATTTGCAGTATATGTGTTGATCAGGACAAATGGTAAATTTATTAATTTTTTCCTTTGTCTTTAGGGCCTGCAGCCAAACATCGGGCAGTAGTTGGATCCTCACCAGACCTATACAAAATGGCAGACTTGCCACAAGGAACAATTATCACTCGATTAAATGGACGAGCAAAGATGACTACCATCAGGTTTGGGGGTCGGAAACAGACGATAAGCTTAGTTGATGCTCCAGATGATGTGTACTTTATAGCCACACCTGCTACAAGGCAAGTTTAGCTATAGCATTCCTTAACCAACTTACACCCAGACAGCTCCTTTCACCCACGTTTGTTATTCATCACAGTTCATGTATTTTACTGGTTATTGGAATACACAGCTGTTCCATCCTGACATTTTTCCTTCTTTTTTTCATCATAACTTT